ATTAAGGAAAACTGGACTTGGATTGATGGGGTGTTAGATGATATGAAGAATTGTTAATTTTATTAATGGGAATTATGATTGTTTAAAGAAAGTTATTATCTGTTATGAGTGAAAATGGAAAATGAGTAGCTAATTTCCATTTCTGATTATAACCTGTACATTTTATGTACAGAAATGCATGGGGAAAGCCAGAAGGAAGTACTCCAACTTATTAGTATCCTTAGAGAACAGATTATGGCTGATTTTCTTACTTATCTGCCTCTATTTTCTCAAGGAAGTGCAAACTTGTGTGATAAGGAAAAGTATAATCACTGTTATATAGTCTGGTGACAAGGGCACTGATAAACAGCTGACCTGAGGAGCCTCTTGGGATTCCCGTCAGGGAGGAGGTGCTAAGGCAGGCTTATGGCATAGGCCTCCGGAACCCAGGAGGCCCAAGCAGCCCATAGCTGGTAGCCCAGTGTACATAGAACCTGTGAGTTCAAGGCAGGACCCACAGGGTTTCAGTACCGCCCACCTGAAGCCTGAAGCTGGTCCCAAGGGAACTGCACCCACACTGTGCCTCAGTGATGCTGAATCCAGAACCGGCCCACCTTCCGGCCCAGGCCCACCTTCTTCCCACAACTCCCTCCTCGCTACTGATGAACTGCTGCCCCACTCCCAACCTAGCAAGGCAATGCCTCTGCCTCCAGTCCTATGTGGAGCACAGAAAGGCCACCAGTAGGGAACTTAGTGATAGGACCAGACCTCCCCAGGCCCAACTCTGGGCTGTGAAGGCTCCTTTAGGATCACACCTGGGAGACTGAAGGTACAGAGCAGAACGAGGTGATGCCTAGGACACAGGTGTTTCCACAGGCGTTTCTACAGGCAGCTTCCCACCCCCACTCAGGCCACCCCTTCACACGCACACTGGATTGGAACTGAAACCCAAGAAGGCCCCTAATACCTCAATCCTGAGAGACACCCCTAAAGTGGTCCTCACTCCGTAGGGCCTCAGGATGATGGGAAACCTGTAAAATATCAGTGCTGGAAGACACCTTAAGGTCATCTAACCCAATCCTGCCATCAAGGGAGGAAACCAAAGCTCCAACCAAGGAAGTGACTTTGGCAAATCACACAGTGAGTTAGTGGTGGGCCCGGGATTAGATAGAACCCTGGGAACCTGGTATCAATCCTTTACAACATCTGCCTCTCATAGGGTCTAAGACCAGAGGACAGAGCTTCTTCCCACCCCAGTATCCCCAAGAAGCTCCCACTGATGGTAAGATCAGCTGAACGATATCTTGGCGGGACCACCACCCACATATCCTGTGCCACTTGCAGGTGCTCAGGGAAGGACCTCAGCGTCTGAGAAAGGACCTCAGCCAGGGCTCTAAGAGAAGAGGAAAGCCAGGGGTGAGGGGCGAAGGCTGTGGGAGCTCTGCTGTGCAGCTTCAATATGGCAGCAGCTGCAACAGGGAACATCGCTGCTATCTTGAAGGCACTTCCCTCCGGCGATGAACCCCTAGCCAAGCCAGTTCACTACTGCCTTCTCCATCCTGCTCTTGTCTGAGCCCTCGAGGACCTCGGTGTGTGGAGGGCAGGGACAGTAGGGGCCTGCTCACCAACAAGGGATGTGGGCCCTGTTGTTTGGCTTCTGTACTCCAAGCCTAGGCTGAGATCATGTGCAGAGGACGGTTCTGGAAAAAGGCAAATATCCAACAATCCTATCTGCCTCCCCTGCTCCTAACCTTTGGCCTAACCAACTTCCTATAGGCCCCTTTCGCTCTCCCGAAGGTACCAAAGGAGAAGTCAGGAAGAAGACGCAGTGCTGCGTTACACAGTGAGGCTGGGATGACCTAAGAACTAGGGATTGAGAGACCAGGAGTGACTTCACATCAGCATCTGCTGTAGCAAAGGTGGATGGACCTCTTCAGGGTCCATGGTACAGACTCCTTCCACCCTCTAGTTGTCTGCAGGGTCCTTCCCAGCTCTCCACGCTTACACCCGAACTAATGCTGGCAGTACCAGCTGGGTGGGGTCCTCAGTGTTGACTGAGTGAACCAGGTGCCGGGCACTGGTTCAGAGCACACAGAGGCCGGCAGGGCCACCCAAGCTTAGAGAGTCTTGTGGGAAATCATTTTTCGTTCCGGGACTGTTTCACTGAGTCAATTGATATTTACCAAGTACTTAGTGGAGGTGGTAGGAGGAATGAATTCCTGGGCTTCCTGTAGCCTCTTCCAAACAGAGGTGGTGGTGGTGGTGGTGGGGGGGGGACATTTCAAAGGACGCAGAGGCAAGGGAGCCCAAGAATCAGCTCAGGAATATTGGCTTGGGCTCTCTCACTACCCCGAGGACTGACTTGTTGGCACACCCACACCACCTCCTCTCCCGCCACCCTTTTTGGGACGGGGTGAAACATCGCAGTGACTTGAGAGCTCTTGCGGGGATTTAGGAATGGGAAATATTCCCTGAATTGCTTTCAATCAGCCCATTCACTCTTCGTAATTGCTTACGTGGCAGGCATCAGGAAGCTCACTTAACAGACCAGGAAATGAAGGCTTTGACTTAGTAGATCCAACCCAATCACCATTGTGAAATAAGTGACAGCTCCTAAGTCCCTTTCAGATTTAGTGGCCTCCTACCTCTACCGAACCATAGAGGAAAACCAGCTATACGTGAACTTAACAGCGAGTCCATCTCCTTCTCTTCAAAGCCTGCCATCTAAAACTAAGAAGGGAGGAAGCCCTTCTCATTCCACGTTCAAGCAAATTTGGGCACCACTGAGCTGGAAGGAGCAAGTTTTGAGAAAAGGCAGCTGGCAAGTCTGGCCCTGGAAGTAAAACAGGACTCAGAGAAGCAGTGGGCTGTGTGGTTGCTGAGTGTGTGCATGTGCTGTGTGCAGACAGAAGTCTCAAGATCCTACCCTCTTCCAGAGATGGCAGGAGAGAAAAGCAATGTGTGACCTTGAGCAAATTACCTGATTTCTCTATTTCCTTAGCTGTAAAATAATCTAATGTATTTGGCTTGCTGTGAAGATTAGAGATCATTAATGTAAAGCCATCCTCCACCCCTAGCTGAAGTGAGGAATTAAAGGCTGCAGCCTAAGTTGTGTCACAGCTTCTACCGTATTTTGCTGTGTATAACACGCACTTTTGTTGCCCAAATTTGAGAGGGAAAAATAAGGATGCACATTATACATGTGTAGTACTAATCCGGACTCCATATGTTTTGTTTTGTTTTATTTTTATTGGGTAACTGTGTGTGGAGGGCACAGCCCACCATCCTGTGCAGGGTCGAAATCATCAACCTTGTTAAGAGCACGCGCTGTAACCAAATGAGACATCTGGCCATCCATTGGCAGCTCAGCTCAAGTAGTTGTCTTCAATCTAGCTGTGGAGGGCACAGATCACTGGACCATGTGGGAATGGAACTGACAACCTGGTTCAGAGCACGCACTCTAACCAACTACACTAACTGACCGCCCTTTATATAAATGTTTTTAATCCTTTATTTATGCTTATGAGTTAAAAGTGTAACTCTAGAAATCAATAATGATATTGTATGTAAAATAATACCCGGGAATACGATAATCAGTTTTGTTGAACTTATGGTGAACTTGCAACTACAAAAAGTTCTTGGTGGGACTGCGGAGTGGCGCGATTGTTAAGAGCTAGCTTGGGACACCAGAGGGCCCCGGTTTGGATCCGGCGACTGATCTGCCTCACCCGGGAAGAGCGCAATGATGGTGCCAACTTGGGCCAGTGAAGCAACGTCCTCCACAACTAGACTGAAGAACAAAAGGACAGCAACTTGTCTGTTTCCCTTCCTCCAATTCCCCAGCACTGTTCCCATCCCCCCAACTCCCCAATAAAGATCTTAAAAAAAAGTTTTTCCCTGGAAATTTGGGCCAAAAACATAGGTGTGCATTATAGACAGGAGCACATTATATATGGCAAAATAGGGTATATCCTTATTCTTGACTAATAATCTTTTTTCGTTGTTCAAAATCCTCTTTATTCAGTTATCTCTTTATCCCTCCCCTCCCTCACCCATCCCCCGCTCCAAAACTATGAGCTCCAAGAAAGCTGTGGTGCCTTCCCTGGCATTTTGCAGAACCTGGCATGTAAAAGATGCTCCATTAGTATTTGCTTAATGAATTTGTCTCTTTCCACATGGATGTGCCTTATCCTGCTTCCTTTGAACGGCTAAGATAGGGAGGAAGGAGGAGGTAGGGTGCTCTTGAGTGTGCACTCAGTGCTCTTTCAGGTGTCTAGTGAATCTAGTGCTTCCTCCTTGGCTCAGGCACAAAAGACTTCTGCTGGCTGGGGGAGAGGGAGTGGGCTCTGGAAACTGCAGCCCCTGCACACTCGAGCCTGGTGTGCCAGCCCCCTCCTCCCAGGGTCAGGCTTTCCCAGTTATCTGCCTTCCCACAGACACAGGAGAAGGCTTTCAGTGAGCCTATGACTGTTCCCCAAGCCGAAGACCCTGTGGGCACAGTCTTCAAGGGGCTCCTCTTGGCTTCAGGCGCCTCCTGAGAGCAGAGTGTGCTGACTAGGGAGGGAGCTGGGGCCACAGTCCCTTTGCAGGGTGGCAGAGTGTCCCTGGCCTAGACAAAATATCCCCCACCCAGGGGGGCCTCCTCAGTTAGATGGAGCTGGCTTTCCCCACAGAATAAGATGTAGGTCTTCACTGGAGGGATGTCAGGTCCTACAATGGGACTGGGGGCTCAGGGTGGCACTGGAGGTGCTGCCAGGGAGAGCTGTTTCCAGGGAGCACAGTTGATAATAAGAGTTAGGTGAGCCGTGGGGATAGCCTTCGGATGGTGGGCCAGTTTCCCACCTGAACTGGTCTCCAGGTCTGTCTCAAGGTCCATGATTTTTGGGGCTGGCTCTGGTTCCCGGGGTCTTCTGAGGGCACCATTGCTGCTGCCACAGCCCTGGCCCAGTGTTGACTTGACTAATAATCTTAAAGTCACAAATGGTCATAAAGTGATTGGACCCAACTCTTACAAAAGAAAATTAAAATAAGATCACAATTTTAATAAGGTCAGAGATATCATTCAAATGGACAGAAATACACCAAGAGTCTTAACTAGCTATAAGAAGGGGAAAGGTTTTCTGTTTAGAATTACCAAAATTACATGGAATTGTATAATAATCATGGGTGAGTTTGATCTTAGAAGGGGATGCTATTCTTGTAGAGGGGAGAAGACAGGTGCACTGACCAAACCCTCCTGGGCCAATCAGAGGCATGATTTAAGGTCTCCCATAAGGACTCCTTATGACTCTCCTAAGGTAGGTGTCTCCCGGTTACCTGGTGACAAAGGAGCCTGTAGTGTCTTCCTCTGAATAGTGGAAGGGTAGGGGTGGGGAACATTAGGAAGGTGGTTCTTTACCTTACAAAGTAAATTAAGCAGAATTCACAGGGGTTGAAAAAGAGGCAGCCTTCAAGCAGTACTGAGAAGTTCCCTGACTATTTCTACATTTGGGGAATGTAAGCAGTTTGACCTCACATGGGATTTTGGTTTTATTTGTTTGATTGGTTTCAATATTACCCTAGACCCAGAAAGGTCAGTTCCTTATTCTCCTTTTGTCATAAAACCAAAGAGCACTTATGTCTAGAAACTAAAACTATTGACCGCTTATTATCCCATACTCTGAGCTGCAGATTTTCATGCAAATTAGCTTCTGGGCCAGTTAAGTCTTGATATCAAGCTGTGTCTTCATAACTCAGCTCCCATCCCCCACCTGGCCAGGAACCAGGAATCCAAAGGACAGGTTTTTTTCCCCCCTAACTCACTCCAGGAAGAAGGGGAGTTCCCAGCACCTGCCTGCCAAGCTGTTCTCCACTTGCTGAACTTTGCCCAGCATGAATAGGTCCCTCTGGCTACAAGTTCCCCCAAACTATCCCTACTTGTGTTTTTAAGGCACACCAATTCCTCTGTGTGAGGCTCTTTGCTTATAATGAATTGTTTCAATTATTCTTACTACTTAAAAGAAACTTCTGCATCAAAGCCCACCTCTGCCCAGCCACATGACTCCAAGATGCTGAGAAGGTGGGGATAAGGGCAGAGCCCAGTTAATATCAGGGATTCTGATCGTTGGGGTCGCACTTGATCATGACTTTCATCCCCAGCCCCTTTTTGGATGTTTCAAAGGCCTCCAGAGCTTTCTCCAGGGGAAACCTATGGGTCACTAAGGATTTTACATTCACAGACTTGGATTCAAGCATTGAAATCGCCACTGGCCACCTGTAAAAGATCACAAGCATTACATTCAACCTTCAGGAGGAAAGAGCCAGACCCCCCAAACTAACAAGTACAAGATCAGCTTGTCCATGTTTATTTATAGCACTGTGGTTCTGCAAGGTCAATTCTACAGACCACCAATGGTGGACATGATCTTATGATTTGTTCCTAAACGCTCCCTGGCCCCTTTGCAATGTCTGCCATGAAGCCTAGAATTCCCTTGGCATGAAGGCATAAGACATATGGAGGCCACTGTGGAAAGGCAGATAAGCCTCAGGGAGGCAGCCCAGGATAACCCAGTCACACCCCTTAGCACCTCAGCAGTTTACTAGAAAACGGGTACTCTGCTGAGGGAATGGTTAGACTCTAAAGGTGGGCATAAGGGACACTGGTGGGGAAGGTGGTCCTGGACAGATTTCCCCAGCAGGAGAGGGGGTGGAGTCATAAAACATGGGGTGAAGTGAATTAAGACCCTCTCACTTCCCAGGGTGTGCTCTGGGGCTCTGGAGTGGGAGCCAAGGGACTTGAGTTCTTGCTGTTGTCCTCCTTTCTTTCCTTCTTCCCTTTAAAGGGGAAAATGGAGATTTGGCCACTTCAGCAAGTGGAAAAGAGAGGGCCTGGGTGATGAGTAATAGAAACCCAAAAAGAGCATGCTTCAAAATCTTCCTGTCCTCCCTTCCTCCCTCCCTCCCTCCCCCTGCCATCTTTGCCCACGAATCCTCTCTTTGGACCCCTAACATGGCTGTCCGTGTGGCCAGGGAGTGCCCCTCATGAATAAATAGGCAGAGACTCTTGGTCCCAGAGTCTTGTTAGCCACTCACCACCCCACTCACCCACAACATACTCACGTATTGCAGTATCGAAACACGCCCTTGATATCCACTTCGCGGATGGCTGCATGCACTAGGGGCACATTAGTCATCTCAGAACCCAGTCCCACAAGCACCAGGGTCCCACCAGAACAAGTGGCCTGACAAAGAAATAAAAACAAGAAAGCCAGGAAGATAAGAAAATGCAGACTTCCCACTCAAAATAACACTGTCATCACACAAATATCTTCTGATTCTATCAGGTGAGTATCCAAAAATCCCAGGGAATATCATTCTTTCTATACTGCTGAACTCTTCAACATGTTGACCAAACTCAACAGAGCAGCAGAGTAAACATTATCTTGTTTAAAGATCCTGAAGTAACACACTTCACCAGTGGAGGACCAGACACAGAGGGAGCATCTTCCACTGTCCACAAAATCCCAGGAAATAGCCAAGGTTCTCCAGGCCTCAGTGAGAATCTCCCCTACACACAACGCTGATCTTCAGCGGTCCTCTGAGCATCCTTCAAAGCTTTACTACTTCAGTACCAGATGCTGGCTTCACCTACTTCCTCATCTCAGCACCCATTCTTCCTCCAGAGTGCCCACCCCACAAGACAGGACTTTTCTCAAACCTCTAAGGAACCACCCTCTTGGTGAGAAAACTACACATGATATAAATGGGGAGGGCTATTGAAATTTTGTGGTTTAAAAACTGTCTTATACATGCAAGCTGGCATTTAGAAATATTTTTGTTCCGGAGACATTCATCCCGATCAATAAAATCGGTCACACTGGATTTTGCCATCCTTGAACATCTATCTGCCTTATCAATTTCTTCCTTGGAGGAGGCCAGAGAGTGAAGTTTCTCTTGACCACCTCCGCATAACTCCTCCTGAGTGTTGTGCCTGCTCCGGAGATTTTTTTGGGGTCACTATGCTTGATGTTGTGAAAGAAAAATGGACAATTCATTCCAGACTCTGAGGGAAAGGATACAGCACTGAGACAGGCCTGCAGCATGGGGGTGACGCTGGCATTTGCACTTTTGAGCTGTGGGACCCTGGATGGTGCCTCTCAGCCAGCTTCCTCCCATGTAACAGGATGATGCCTCCCCAGCAGGGCTGTTGGGAGTTCTAATCACAGTGCCTGGCATAAGGGCTCATCGTTTGGCATGTTTTCTGTTGTTTGTTTTTTTGGTTGAAGTGCAGTCATTTACAAACCACTTGTGACATATGAACACTGCCGGTAAAGGGGAGAGTATCTCAACAGGAAAATGTTGCTGTCCCCACTGGAGAAGTGGTGGGGACAGGTATAAGTGAGCCACAGAAAACTCTTGATTGAGAAATTTTCTAGGAAAACTGTTTCCCATTAGCATTTCCTCTCCACTTGGAGAAAAGGAGGAATACTGTCAAATGGGCCATAGCAAGCTGCTAGGGGTCAGCAGTTTGCTGACCACAGACAAAGGAATGCTTGGACTACCTGGCCATTGTTTTGTGGGTGTGACCTCTGCACCAAGGAGATGACATCAATTCTACCCTAAGCATTTGCCACTTCTCTTCCCAAACATTATCTAGTCACGATCTGGCAAGAAAGCGACTCTCAGGTATGTCCGTATAAGTTGCTGTCACCTAACCTGCCTATTAGAGGGGTGGCCTATAGCATTCTCCAGCACCTGTCATGCATGATGGCTCCACTCCCCACTCAGGAGAGGCACCAGCTTCAGGACTGGAGAGGCTCTTGGGTAACATTGACCTCCGTGTCCACCTCAGGTAGCCTGGCCTCCACGGTCAACAGCTGGAGATGCCAGCTGTTCTCCAGGCAGGAGAGAAGAGGAAAGAAAGCCTCACACTGTGAAGTTATATCTTTCAGTGCCTCCCTGTGGAGTAGGGGGGGTCACTGACCTGTCAACAACTTAAAAGACAGTAGACACACCTTACTCATTGTCATAGCCCGACGCACAACATATGCCCAAGATATGTCATGGGCCGACTGATCACACATAGACCCACTGCCCTCTGAGTTTTGGTTTCTCTTTGCCCCAGGGTGAAGGTACCTCCTGCTTCTCCCTCCTCCTGCTGCCTCATCTGTCCTTGATGCCATGACATCTTGGTAGGGGGCCGGGCCTGAGGGCTGTGCCACACAGCTCTGTGGGTCAGCTTTCCTCAGAATTTCTTGCATGGTGCAAAATGCCCTTGTGCATGACCCAGCTGTGACTCAGAAGGAAGAAGGAAGCGTGAGCTGCTGTGGAAAGCTGTTTGAGAGGCAGGGAAGGCGTGCCAGTGGTGGCAGCTGTCACCATTGCTCTCCCCAGCCCTGCCCCTTCCACTCTAGCATGGTTGCTGACTGCTTGTCCCTTCCTTCCTCTCCTCTTCTAAGCAATGGACAGAGTAGGGAAAATGCAGGCACTGGAGCAGTGTGCTCAAGGCAAGTTGCTGGGCCTCACATCGTACAATAAAATGTGGAAAATGACTAATCTCACGGCTGTTGTGCAGATCAGTCATCACGTTTATAAGACCTGGCACACAGTGGGGTTTGGAACCTAGAAGGTATTCTTTTTCCCCTCTTTCCTCACACTCCGATCTGTCAATGCCAATCCCCCTCCCCACTCCCCTGCCAACTTCTCATAAATTACTAGTGGGTCGCTGAGGGGCGAATCAGCTTGATTGGCAGCTTATCGGTTCCTAATTCTGGGAGAGGACAGCAGTAGCCAACTGTGACCCTGAAAATCACCACACCTTGTGACTAACTGGCTGTCACTTTGTATAAATGAATCAAAGACCACAGTTTTCCTCAATAGAACAAGATAGGGATTTCCCACACGTAACTAAAACATGGTTCCCTGTTTCTCCTATTGATCTTCTAATTAAGAGCACAACTTTTATGATCACAGATAACAATCACAGCAGCAACCCCATCCTCAATGTGTCACTTAACATCTTTTAAGGCCCATGTACGAGTATATGTGGTTACCTTGTTGAAACCTCACAATGACCCAATGAGAATGCGAGGCAAGTGTCACTATTTCCACAAGAGACATAAGAAAACAGAGATACAAAGAGTCACTTAATTGTGCTGTGGGGGCCACAGAGCAAGTCAGTGGAGAAGCTTGATCCTAGGACTCCTGACTTCTACTCAGATCATTACCCTGCGCCGGTTCCCCAGAGCTGCCCTCATCCCACTCACATAGATGCCCGCCTGGATGGCGGTCTCTGCCCCTGTGCACTCGATCGTGACTCCTGGCTTGCACCCCAGGAGGCTTTCCACTTTATTGGCGATTTCCTGAGGGCTCTCCTTGGAGATCTGGAGGACGAAATCAGCCCCGGCTTCCTTCGCCTTAGACAGCCGAGAAGCAGACAGATCTAAAGTTGAAACAAAGTTTCTTTCAAACTGAGAAACTGGATGGCAGATTAGGGAGAACATAAAAATGGCGGTGCAGTTCTGATGGCAACGGAGCTCTGGTGTGGTGGGTGGTGTTGCTGAGCCCAACACACATGCTCTCTACACCATCACACACTCCCGTACACACCACACATCTACACACGCACACACTCTCTCAAAGATATCTTCTCTTCACACACATAAACACTTTCACAGATACCCTCTATACACACTCTCTGATATGATACACACATGCTCTTCTACATTCCCACTCCACCATACATCCACGCACACCCACATACCACACACCTTAACACAAACACCTCCTAGAAACATATCATTCATTCCAGTAGCTCCATAGCACACACAAACACACACACACACACACACACACACACACACACACACACACACACACACGCTCTTCCTCTCCTGGGCTTAGACAAAGGGCTGAGCCTCTTCTTGGGACCACGTAGGCAGTATGGGAATCTCAGGTCCACACATAACGTGCCAGGTCCTCTTCTCCACAGCAGCCACCCTCTCCCAGCAGCTTCCAAAAAGAGTCTCCTCCTGAACCCTGACTTGGTCATCCCCTGGGTGGGCTTTTCAACCCTAAAACCAGGAAAACAGTGGAGGAGCCCCTTTAGAAACCCAGTACCCCAGGAAGGGAATAGGGCATGAGACCGACTACCCCTGCCCCAAACTATAGGCCCCGCTGTTTCCCCCTCAAGGAGATTTTAAAAGAAGAAGACCTTCTTACCAGTCACCACCACTTGAGCTGCACCCATTGCCTTGGCCACAAGCAAATTGACCAGTCCAATTGGCCCTAAATAAAGCGGGAAATGGGAGACACGTCTGTGAAATAGGAAACCTCAGCTCTCCCCCTTGTCCAGGCCATAAACAGGAATCATATTTTCTGTGCACCTCCAGCATCTATCCCAGTGCCTGCCACACAGTGAGACCTTAACAATTGTTTGTTGAATACATGAGAATTATTCTCTACATGAAATCTGCTCCTAGTGTTGGGTTCTATTTGATCCTCTCCTAAAACAGAATTAGAAAATTTCCACTTACTCTTGGGCACTGCTTAGGAATGATATCAAAGAACCAGAGGGCTCAAGGAAACATAACTGTTCAGAGAAGAAGTCTCAGAAAGTCTGGATACATGTTCCTGTTCTTTTTGACCCCTACCTCCTTAGAACCCATCACACATCTCCCCAAGGAGAGATATATCATTTTTAGGTACCCGCTGAGGACCACCCTGGAGGGTGTCCTTAAGTGAGCTGGCTCCCTGGGTTGAGGCAGCTGTTCAAGCAGCCCCAGGATGTTCGGGAGACTAAGATGTTTCACCAGATTCCGCATGCTAGATGACACGATGGTTTTAATACCAAAACCAGACCCACAAAATATGGTTATACAGAATATTGTTGGGGATTTGCTTTTTGGACACTTCCCTTGAAAATAATTTTGTGAGTTCCCCCAGAAAGCAAAACACTGAAAAATACCTGATGACCAACAAACAGATGATTAAACTACAGTGGGATACCGCATAGCTATTAAAAATTATGTCATGGGCTGGCCGAGTGGCTCAGTTAGTTACGAGCTCGCTCAAGAGTGCGAGCTCTAAGCAACAGCGGTTCGATGCCCGGCCTGAGCTGAGCTGCTGCTGAGCTGCCAACAGGTGGCAGGATGGCTCAGCTTAAAAAACAAAACAAAAACAAAACAAAACAAAACAAAACAAAATTATGTCATAAGAGGCCGGCCGAGTGGCTCAGTTAGTTAAGAGTTGGCTTAAGAGTGCGAGCTTTGAGCAACAGGGCCACCGGTTCAATTCCCACATGGGCCAGTGATGCTGCGCCCGAGCTGAGCCATTGCTGAGCTGCCAACAGGTGGCAGGATGGCTCAGCTGGTGTAACAACAAGATTGCCTGTTCAATGGTGGGCTACACCCACCCGCAACTAAGACTGAACTCGGCACCTTGAGCTGAGCTGCTGCCGGGATGGCTCAGTGGATAGAGCGTGTGCTCTTAACAACAAGGCTGCTGGTTCGACTCCCACGTGGGATGGTGGCTTTGCCCACCTGCAACTAAGATTGAACACAGCACCTTGAGTTTAGAGGCTACTAGCTGCCGACGGGAAGCCAGATGGCGACTGACGCCCTTCACAACAAAGATTGAAGAACAACAATTTGACTGGTCCCCTTCCCCAATTCCCCAACACTGTTCTATCCCTCAATTCCCCAATAAAATATTTTTTAAAAAAATTATGTCATAAATCTTTTGTCCACTGACATCAAAAAATGTACACAATGTATTGATTTAAAAAAAAAGAGTAGGTTAAAAAACAATGAAGCATATTCAGCATGATCTCATTGAAAAACAAAACAAAAAAGTAAGAGTCTATACCAAAATGTTAACAATGATTCTCTCAGGCTGATAGGACTATGGGTAAATTTCTGTATGTGTGCACGTGTGATGTGTATGACGTCTTTTTTTCCTATGGCAAAAGATATTATTTATGCAGATTTTTTAAAAACCTGAAAACAACAGTCTGCTGGTTAATTGAGGTAAGTCTGTTCTGTACCCATCACCCTACTTAGGAAGCCCTGCAATCACTTATTCAGCCCTGCCAAAGAAAATCAGTCACAAAAGTGTGTGAGGATTAACAAAATGGATTAAAGGCCTGAAACCATAAAACCCCTAGAAGAAAACATAGGCGGTAAGCTCCTTGACATTGCCTTGGTGATGATTTTTTAGATTCGACACCAAAAGCAAAGGCAATAAAAGCAAACATAAACAAGTGGGAAAACATCAAATAAAAAGCTTCTGCACAGCAAAGAGAACCAACAACAAAATGAAAAAGGCAACCTACTAAATAGGAGAAAATATTTGCAAATCATATATTTGTTAAGGGGTTAATATTGAAAATATATAAAGAACTCATATAACTCAATAGCAAAAAAATAAACAATTCAATTAAAAAGAGGATCTGAATAAACATTTTTCCAAAAAGGACATACAGATGGCCAACAGGTACATGAAAAGGTGCTCAACACTACTCATCAGGGAAATGCAAATCAAAACCACAATGAGATCACCTCAGACCTCTTAAAATGGCTATTATTAAAAACACAAGAAATAACAAGTGCTGGTGAAGATGTGGCAAAAAGGGAACCTATGTACACTGTTGGTGGTAATATAAATTGGTGCAGCCACTATGGAAAACAGTATGGAGTTTCCTCAAAAGTTAATAATAGAACTACTATATTATCCAGCATTTCTACTTCTGGATATTGATCCAAAGAAAATGAAAACACTAATTCAAAGATGTATGTACCCTCATGTTCATTGCAGCATTATTTACAACAGTTAGGACGTGGAATCAACTTAAGGGTTCACCGATGGCTAAATGGGTAAAGAAAATGTGGTATGTAATATATACAATGAAATATTACTCAGCCACAAAAAAGAAGGAAATCTTGCCATTGTGACAACATGGATGGACCTTGAGGGCATTATGCTAAGTGAAATAAATCAGTCAGAGAAAGACAAATGCCATGTGATATCACTTGTATATGGAATCTAAAATAAAACAAAACAAAAAATCCCCACTTCTCTGGTATGATTCGAAAGTTCCAAAAGTTGCTCCTCCCTTTACTATAAAAAATATTTCCCTAGTTTCCTGTCAAGCGTTGAAAAATAATCCCAGACTGCATTCTTTAAATGAATAAAAGGAAATAACAGCAGTTACTATCACGTCTGCAGATATTAGTTTATTTAGCAAAGTGCTGATCACTGAGGGAATGGGACACTGTAATTCTCTCCGACCCAGAAAGATCCTAGGACCAATTTCAGCCTTGGAGGGGGAATGAGATGGGCAGAGGGGTCCCCACATTCCCCTTTAATGAATTCATAGCCAGGGTGCCATCTGTTTCTTACCAGCTCCACACACAAACACCTTGCTCCCCAGGGTGATTCTAGCTCGCCGGCAGGCATGGATCCCCACAGACAGTGGCTCAACCAGGGCCCCTTCCTCAAAGGTGACATTGTCAGGAAGCCTGGGGAGTCAACACACTCAGTTAGTCTCTCTGGGTTAACAACAATAGCTAATAGCTAATATTTATTCAGCACTTATTTATGTGCCAGGCAATACGTTAAGCTAAATTTACATATATTCACTCATGTAAGTCCTCAGAACAGTTCTGTAGTAGGTATTATTATTATGCCCATTTTGCAGATGAGGAAATCGAGGTTTGGAGGATTAAATGACTTGTTCGAAAGGTTCTAAATTAGTGAGGGGCTCCAAGGGTTTGAATTGGAAACCAGACATGTCTGATTCTAGAACACATTACACAGTTTCCCTCTGAAGATGGATTTCTTTGGAGAAATCACTTCAATGAATACCAATACATTATGTTTTCTTTAATATATTAGCCAAGATAAAGTATGGTGTGGCTGTCATTAATAAACAAAAAATTCATTTAACAAGAGGTTAACATAGCCACATTCCAGCATCTCATCTGTTTGTCAAACTGATAGCCTTTCTGATTTCACTTCAGCAAACAATCCCAACTATTAGCAGCTTTGTAAAACAGTGATTTGTAAGCTGATGCTCTGTTCAATTGTCCCATGTCAATCCCCCTCCCACTCCGGCCCCTCCCCCATGACACATTCCAGAAGAACCACATTTGATGGCAGCAGCTGCCTGGCTGTCCCAGGACTGGTTAAGATGGGAAAAGGGCTGTCTTCCACACAGCTGATTAAATGCTGTCACCTTTACCATTGCGTGCTTGGTTTTCACTTCCATGTCCACTGGCATCTTGATCCTATTAATAATTGTACTGATGATGACAGCAAACATTTGTATAGGGCTTTACAGATTAGAGAGCTTTCTCATCCATTATCATTTAATCCTCACCATGACCTTGTCAGGTGGAAAGGGCAGGTTTTATTTCTACCTTTATTCTATAGTAGAAGAAATTGAAACTCAATGACATTGATACTTTCCCAAGGTTACAAGGCTAGTGAGTGGAAAAGCAAAGCTTCCACCCAGGTCTCTTGATTCCATACCCTCTGCCTGCCCCTTATCAGCTGCCTCCTGGTACAAGCAGCTCTGTAGTTAATATCTAATTTCTGCTAGTTCCTAGCTGCCTAGCATCTATTCAGTGCCCCCAAAATCTCCACATGAAAACCCTCAAGTTATAAAAAGAAAGGTTGTCTGAATGACGAAGTAACCGCTTGAGCTAAAGCTGACCCAAAAAGAAAGGTGGCAGCCAAACCATGTACTTGTCCCCATGATCCTTCTGTCACTGTTCACAATCCCCAGGGAATAAATAACAAGGCCTGCCATCGGCCTGGCTGCTGCTACCACCCTTTCCTTCTCCCCTCCCTTTTGCTTCTCTCACATCATTGCCCCCACTCTGATCCACCCTTCTACTCCGATTGCCGCCATCACCCTTTCTATGCACTCAATTACCCCCATCAACTCTATATAAAGGGGAAAAATGGAAATGAAATGAAGCCTCCCAAACTCTCAAGGACCCCTAACCACACTTTCTCAGACACACCTGCTCCCCTCCATTTGGGCCTCCCGCAAAGCTTGTACTGGCTCTAAGCTGAGGGTGGCCCCCCTCTCCCCTTCCCTCTGACTCCCCTTTGTAATAAGCACACCAAGGAGAAATGGGATTGGGGGCGGCACTGAGGACTGTTACCTATGAGAATATTTTACCGATTAGGCAGACGTTGCCTTTTCACATATGCAGCCATAGCCAGCAGCACGGGAGGGCAGCCTGGCACGGAGGCGGAAGCATCAGGCAGAGTCCTGGGGCCCAGCGCCTTTGCCACTGACCTTGAGAGAGAGTTACTGGGTCCTCCCTCCCCAACCTTGTTCCGTGAGGGGGTGAGGGTACAGAAGGGATGAGAGGACTCAGCGCTAATCTTTTATGACTTTATAAACACCAGAGAATGACAAGGCAACTTGGTGATTTTCACAATAGGGTTCAGGGAACAGGCAAAAGAGTTAAAGAATGATCAAGACGCCAAGAAGGAAGCAGGAAGATAGAATGAAAATAAGGTGGATAAGAAAAGAAAGAGACTGTGGTAGCGTAGAAATCCTCACAAAGAGAAACCAGAGAGGGCTTGGGCCCAGGGCTGGGCTGGGGACACAGGCAAAAAGTGCCCTGGGAGGGGGGAGAGGGGGTTGCATGTGCCCTAGAGGCCCTCCCCAGTCCTCTCATCGCCATTGCCAGACAGAACAACCCAACCCACACCATTCCCTATAAACCACCCCTCTCCCCTCCCGGCCCAAAGACCCCTTTCAGGTCTAACCCTGTACCATCCAGACACAAGGCCACGGCTATGACATATGATGACACCACTTATTGAGCCAGGCCTCATGCGGAGTACTTGGTATGCCTTTCTCGTTGAATCCTGTCAATAAGTCTTATGTATTTCACCATATTGGTGCTATTATAATCTCCATTTTACAGGCAAGGATATTGATGTTACAAAGTTTAAGTAACTTGTTCAAGGTCACACAGCTGGTAAATGGCAGAGACCGGTGGTTAGTCTCAAACTTCACTATTTTGCTCTTCTGCCTCCCATGAAAACCTTGCTTGGTGTCTTGACTTGGAAAAGGCCCAGGAAAGGCAGACTCTGCTCACACAACCTGCTTTCTTCTAGAGCAGGTGTGAGTATTGACTTAAACTCATCACAAGGTCTCTGGCCTGTGACTCCTCTCAAGGCTTCCAGAGGGCACTAGAAAACTCAGATCTGTCTGACTGCCCCTGTGATTGGCACCTGGCCTTTGTCAGACAAGCCCCGTCCTGGCTGACAGAGACACGACTGGGGCCAGGTCAGGGTGGGAGAAAAATGAACCTGTTAGCAGGAGGAAAGAGGCTCCATGGGCTGGGGGCCATGCAGAAGGTACAGCACTTTGCTTCTGCCTCACAAAGCTTCTCACCCCAAAACCACTTTGAGCGTTGGGGTAAGGCAGAAAGCACAGGGCATGAACTTGAGAATTACTGCCACCCTGGCTTGACTCCTGGCTCTGCTCTATGCTCCAGTCAATTAGCCGCTTCCTGCCTCTGCTAACCCTTGCACAAAACTGCACTACTGGGGCCGGCTGATTGGTTCAGTTGGTTAAGAGCGCGAGCTCTGAGCAACAGGGTTGCTGGTTCGATTCCCACATGGGCCAGTGAGCTGCGCCCGAGCTGAGCTGCCAACAGGTGGCAGGATGGCTCAGCTGATGAGAGCACGTGCTCCTAACAACAAGGTTGCCAGGTTGACTCCCGCATGGGATGGTGGGCTACGTTCACCCACAACTAGGTTTGAACACAGCACCTTGAGCCGAGCTGCCCTGAGCTGCCCACGGGTGGCCGGATGGCAACTGGACCTGGAGCTGAGCTAGCTGTGCCCTCCTCAACTAAGACTGAAGGACAATAACTTGGCTGTTCCCCTTCCCCAATTCCCTAATAAAATCTTTAAAAAAAAAAAAAGTGCACTGCTGGTGCCCACCTCACCATTAATTCTTCTGAAGGTGAATAAGATAAGGCATGCAAAGTACTTACTAGCGCAAGGCAGGCAAGTACTAATAATAATTGTGATTTCACATGCATTGCCTTACTTCATTGTCTAGTGATTAAATTAGACTGAAGCAGAGAAAGGTTAAGTCATTTATTCAGTCACTCGCTAGGAGGCAGTAGATCCAGGGTCCCACAGCTCAGAAGCTGGCTCCATGCCATGCCTCCTCAGTAAACTCCAGTTATTGCTGTCATTGTTTGTTATTGTCATCAAAGTCATTGCTATTATAAGTTCTCTTTCCCATAGCTGCAGTGAAAACCAATAATGGAGGACAAACCACAAGAAGTTATCTCCAGGATGGCTGGAGAGGAGTGAGTGACTTCGGCAACAATATTGTATTACTGCTCTTGGTGAGGGGAAGTTAGACTGAAAGACTAAAACCAAGCACTGTGAGCCAGGCTTAGCCCTGGTCAGGCTACCCTCTCTCCACACCACCATGAAGGGCAGGCTAGCGGAGAGGATGTCTCATGTCTGAAATTAAGAGCTGAAAAGAACAAAGAGGTCACCACAGAAAACTAGAAGAAAGAACACCAAACACACAGAGGGGGAGAGGTCCAGGTGGCAAAGCTGGGCTGGGCACTAACTTGTAGCAGAAGTTGGCATTATGCTTATAGAACCGGCAGAGGTTCCCGTCATCGGGGGGCGTGGCACAGAAGAAGAGGGATGGCGACAGGTTGTATCGTCCAATCTTGCAGAATTCATCGGTTTCTCGGGGAGCACCAGGCTCGATGGCAACACGATCACCTGGAGAGGAAAACACGAACAGAGGCAGAGACGCTGTGAAGGTATTCAGGCTCATGGGCAGATACCAGTGGGGAATCTGGCGGAACGAGTCACCCTCCTACCTGGTGACCTGGGAGCTCTAGGCAAGCCGAGCCCATAGGTGCCTCCAAAGGAAACACAAGATGTAGCACAGACTCACACTCTGAGAGAGAGTGAACAACCCACTTCTCCACAGACTAGTTTGGTCTGCCCTTTTACCAACTCTTGGAGCAAACCATCCTGCCCCTCCAGCTCCACAGCCACCTCCCAGCCTGGGAAATATTATACAACCAATCTCATCTCTAAGGCAAGCCATCTCAAATTGCTGCAAAAGAGGTAGCTAGTGCATGGAGTTTGCAGACATTTTTCTCTTCACCTGTTTTGAAAATATTGGGCAAGGCCTTTATAAGAGCAATAATTAGGACATGTCTATGTTCAGTCTGGTTGTGTTTAGACAAATAGCTAGGGCAGAACCACTAAGGCAAATGACCCACAGAGAACCCCTGGTACAGGGAGAGTAACACTCAGGCTTATGAACAGCTGGCTTCTATCATACTTCTACTCTATGTCTCACTAAGTCTGCTTGGAAACCCAGCTTTAGAATAGCTCTTCACTCTTTTCATTAGGAAAATTTTCATACGTACATCAAAGTTGAAAAACATTTACAGCGAACACCCAGATGTTCTCCACCTAGATTCTTCAATTAACATTTTAGCTACATTCACTTTATCACATATCCATCCATCTCTCCTCTATCCATCAACCCATTTCTTTTCTTTCTTTTTTAAAAAAAATTTTATTGGGGAACATCCATGGTCATTGGTTACAAATTGTTTTCATGCTACAGTGGCATAGTTGACTCTTTAGGGAGGGCGCAGCTCACAGTGACCCATGTGGGGATCAAGCCAGCAACCTTACTGTTATCAGCACACTAACCGAGCTAACCGGTCACCCCAAACCATTTCTTTCCTGATACATTTCAAAGTAGGTTGCAGATATTAGTACACTGCACCCTTAAATACTTCAGCCTTTAAGTATTTAAGTACTTCAGCCTGCATATCATGAACTGGAGCTCAATAATTGTTTACGGTTCTTTTTTTTGAAGGTAAAATTTTGGTATTGATGAAATGCACAAATCTTAAGTGGATCACTAGATGAATTTCGATAGGAACATTCACCTGTGTGATATAAACTCCTATCAAGATACAGAACATTATCACTACCTCAGAAATTTCATTCCTTTGTGTTCCTTCCCAGTCAATCCCCACCCCCACCCCTAGATGGGTATACTGGTGGGATTAGGAAACCTCCTGAGCCTGGAGTGCTAGCAGCCTGAGAAGAACTCAGAGAGGTCTGCCCCTTACTAAGACACACATTAGGCTATTTTTAATGTCTTTTGTGTTAAAACTACCCACATAATAGTGTACAGTCCTGGTATGTAAATAGTGCTCATAAAAAGTAGTGGTGACAATGATGGTAGTAATAGTAGTCACACATAGTAGTATTAACTATTTTTATTATATTAATCATTATTATAATTATCTGAGTTGTATTATTACAGAAGAAATTAAAACTATAAGATAGATGACCAGATTGTATATAAATTAGGAATTCTTTCATGCTTTGGTTTTAATGATTTAAATTTTACAAACAAATACTAAGAACTACTCAATGAGTGGCTTTCTTCTTTCTAGATTAGTTGATTAGAACTTTAAGTCAAAGTTAGCAAGCGAAACACTTCAATAATGAAATCCCTGCAATCACTAAAATGTGTTCCTGTACCTGTATATATGTCTCGTCCTTCTATCCCCCTCTATTCTCCTCTCTGCTGCCCAATAAACCCTTTCCAAACTATGCTCTACCACGAACAATGACTTCTTCAACTTAGCATTCAAGATCTTCCATAATTAGGTGGAGTTTATATTATTCAGTTTTGTTACATTATAATAATATTATAATAACTCACAGTTGTATGGTGCTTTTTAAAGAGGGACTTTTGTGCAGATTATCATTTCAACTAACTCTCCTATACAGGACCTCTGCTTTGAGCAACACAGGCTTATTAGCAACCCAGATACATAACTTCTACCTCTGTAATTTTATCATTCTGTTCCTCTTACCTGGAATATTAGCTTCTGACCTCTTCACTAACTCAAATACAAAGCCTTTCTTATGTATCCAGATGCTGGGCAGACCAGTGGTTCTTAGCACTTGCTCGAGAATCTGAAAGACCAAGGCAGGCATCCTAGCTCTGAACCTAACTAATGTTTGACCCTGGGCAATTTCCATGTTTCACTTTCCTCATCTGATAACGAGGAAAATGAAGCTCGTCTCATAGAGTTGTGTCAAGAATGAAGTAAATAATTATACATATAAGTATTTAACATGGAGACAAACAATAAATCAATGTTATTTGCCTTCTTATAATTAGTTAAATGTCTAGCTCAAAGACCTGTCTCCTCCATGAATCTTCTTTACACACCTCTGCTCATGACAAGTGCCCTTACTTTGAACTTCTAGAGCCTGTTCTTTACTGATTGCACCATATGGTCTTGTCCTCTAATTGTTGGTATTTGTGTATGTCCTCATGTCTGGTCTCTCTAACTAGACTGAAGCATCCAAGGATCATATCTTCTTAATTTTCTATATCCCTCAAAGCACCTGCACAGGCCGGACCCATTGTCGCTGCCGATTAAGCACCTATTATAACTTAAATTTAGAAAACCCCACTCTTTGTTATGACATATGTTTACAGACCTAGTCCCACAGGTAAGAACCAATCAGTGACTGTCAGAAGCTGCGAACCTTCCACTTTGGGAGAACCCTGCAAAATCCTAGGGGCTTTCTTGACTTTACTGATGATGAATGGAGGACATTTCTAAATGAGAGCTTGCTGATCCCTCCCCAAGTAACTGGGCTCAGAGAGCCTTCTAACTAACACAGGATGGCACCTCTTGCCAACCTCCTCCTTCTCCCAAAAATCTGACATCATCTCCTGGCTGTGCAGTGGCCTCATCAGCAAAGGAAGGTTAAAGCCAATGGCTAGCTAAGCCAAGATAGCTTGGATTTAATTCATTGTGATGGGGGACATCACAGTCTGCCATGGCTGAGAATTCCTCCCTCCAGAATGAATTAAGCAAATCTAGAAAAATATCGGTGGTTTCCCAGCAATCCAATAAAATCAAAGACTGTTTCGAAGGTCCTGGTTCTGAACATGTGGAAACAGATTGTGGTTCCTGTGCCTGGAGTGTTTACCCCACCTCTTTACCTAGCTTATTTCTTGCTTGCCTGCAGGCGTTGGCTTAACTGTCCCTTCCTCAGACTAGCCAGGGGTCTGGACAGAACACACCAATCGCACCCCATATTCTTCTCTGCTGCCTTCAACGCAATCGTAATGAAGTAACTATTTGTGTGTCCCAGCTCTGTCATCCCCTGTAGAAGGTAAGATCCACGTGTGTAGGGACTGAGGCCATCTTCTTAACTGCTGCATCCCTGGTGTTTAACAGACAGCCTGCCCCTGACAAAGCACACACAAATATTGATGCTGAATGAATAAATAGATAGACCCATTAGCTGAAGGGCTTTGCTGACCTGGTTTTAGGTGCTTCACCAATGATCCCACTTTTACGACTGTTCCTGCAGCTTCATGGCCCAGCACCATTGGCTTTTTCACAACAAAATCCCCAATTCGACCATGCTGCCAGTAGTGGACATCTGAGCCGCAGATTCCAACGGAATGCATCTTCAGCAGCACCTCTGATAAGAGAAAGGAAAAGGAGAAAACAAGGAAGGAGGAAATGACCCCTCTTGCACCCTAAGGCACCCTGGTGATTCTCCTCTGCATGAAGGGCTTGGTCTCAAAGACCAGGTAAAAAATTTAGACCAGAGGAAAACAAGCTAAACAGCAACCCCGGTTAGTCTTGCAAAGCAAGAAAGCTTCCACAGAGCAAAATAACAGCATGTGAGGGTTAATTCTCTGTGTCAACTTGACTAGGCTATAGTGCCCAGTTGTTTGGTCAAACGCTAGATGTTGCTCTGAAGGTATTTTTCAGATGTGATTAACATTTAAGCGCTCCCATGTTCACCAAAGCATTATTTACAATAGCCAAGATATGGAAACAACCTAAGTGTCCATCAATGGATAAGTGGATAAAGAAAATGTGTATATACAACAGAATATTATTCAGCCATAAAAAAAGAAGAAAATCTTGACATTTGCGACAACATAGATGAAGCTTGAGGGCATTATGCTAAGTGTAATAAGTCAGAAAGAGAAAGACAAATACCATATGATCTCTCACTAGTATATAGAATCTAAAAAAACCAAAGAAAGAAAAAAAACAAGTTCACAGGTATAGAGAACAGATTGGTGGTTGCCAGAAGTGGGGGATAGGGAGAGAGGGAGGGTGGATGAAATGGGTGAAGAGGGTCAAAAGGTACAAACTTCCAGTTATAAAATATATAAATCATGGGGCTGTAATGTACAGCATGGTGACTAGTTAATAAAATCGTATTGTATATTTGATAGTTGCTAAGAGATCTTAAAAGTTCTCATCACGAAAAGAAAATTTTGTCACTATGTAAGGTGATGGATATTAACTAGACTTATTGTGGTGATCATTTCACAATATATACAAATATCAAATCATTATGTTGTATACCTAAAACTAACATAATGTTGCATGTCAATTATACCCCAATTAAAAAAAACATTTAAATTATTAGACTTTGAGTGAAGCAGATTATCCTCCATAATGTGGATATGCCTCATCCAATCAGTTGAAGTCCTTAAACGACAGGACTGAGGTTTCCTGAAGGACTTCTCCCTCAAGACTGTGACATCAGCTTTTATCTGAATTTCCAGACTGCTGATCAGCTCTGCAGATTTCATACTTGCCAGTCCCCACAATCATGTGCGGCAATTCCTTAAAATAAATCTCCCTCCAGTCCTCTCTCTAATAATAATAAATCTATTCTAAATAAATCTCTCTCAGTTCTGTTTCTCTGGAGAAAACTCTAATACACTGCATAAGCAAGGAAGAAATGTATCAAACCCAAAAGAGAAAAAACTTTTCTAGGAGATAACTATTTCCAGACGATTAATGTGCTGTGCCTCATTGTTATCTGCTCAGGTAAGGGAGGTTGGTAGAATCTAGGCTTGGCAACACTTTGTGAGCTCTCATGTTCCGTTTTCATGCCTGCTGTTTTCTAAAAAGTGCAGTGTTAATTTAAACCACCCAAAGATTTCAACTGGCATTTCCCGTTTACACGTTTGCATATAGTGAGATTTGATAGCATTGTTGTTGCCAGTTTTCCAAGTTTAAAATAATGATGCTACTGAGCCTCTTTGCTGAAATAAGTCCTGAAGGATTATTGACCTAGTTGGACTGAGATGACCATGTTACAAGTATCTCCCTGAGACAAAGCTCTGCCTTAGAAAGACAAAGAAACTCAAATCTCTGCTATGCATTCAGGTGTCTTACACACTGCCCTTGCCACAAACCATGGGCAATTCCCCCAGGTGCTGCTCTGTAGAACTTTCTCCATCCTTGGTTTTGGTGAACAGTGAAAGAAATGGCAGGGTGAATTCTGAGATCAAAGTTAGGGAAAAGTCATTTGAGTTACAAAAATTGTCTGAGTTTCCTCTCTTGAAGATACCAATTTGTAATAAGAGGTTAAATTTGATGTGCTAGAACTCTAGCTGAAATTTACCATCGATTCCCCTTTCAATTCAAGGACATCAAGAGACAAGAAAGTGAGAGCAGAATGCTGCTTCAGAGAGAGAAGCAGTACCAGGATCCTTCAAGCCCTTGTCTGGCCACCTCTGGAATCAACACCAACTTTCAGGAGACAGTGCCTATTTCACTTCTCTGAATATGTTATCTTGTTGAAAACACTTAAGCCCTAAATATACATTACTTGCTAAATACTGATAGAAACAGCTCTTGTCTGTATTCTTATCACTATAAAGCAACAACCCAAATGACCTCTGAGTAACCAAGCTCTAGAGGCTACAGGAAAGCTGCCTTCAATCTGATGTTCACACAGAAGCTACAGTTGTGGGGGTAAGGTAGGGCAGCACATCCCCAGCTCATCAAGGACAGAAAGGGGACCTGAGTGGCTGGGTGTGGGATGAGCTATCTACAGACGCTCTGCCCATTGCTCCCAGCCTCACTGCAGGGTCCTGCAGATCATGAAGTGGGATTCCAGGAATGGAAAGGACTGGGAAAAAGTCAGCAGGGATCTGCCTTAGCCAATAGGGTGACATGACCTCCCCATGTACAGACACCACCCAGGAAATGTGCGTGTCAGCTCAGCCGCAGGCTCGCCCAGTGGGAGGTCAGAAGGAGTGGAGTAAAAGTGGCAGGAACTCTGCCCCAGTGTGCTCACCCACTTTCTGTACTTGGTTGATTAGGGCAGTGGGGCAAGGATCCATGCAGCCCCTCCCAACCCTACTGCACAGAAGGTCTTGGTCTTCCTGGCATGATGCTTCCTTTTCTAACTAAAAGATTAAGTTCTGTAGACTCACTCCTTTTCAAAGTTTGGGTTAGGGTTAGGCCACCTAAATAGCTTATAGTGAGTGGTTAGAGTAACCTAATTCTGTTGTTAGATCAAAAGAGGAACAATTCTGCCTTTGGCCCATAAACTGAAGATATTTTATGCCCAAAACTCTTTGGAACAAGCCAGCAGTCTGATATGGTAGCTATTCTTGTTCTATCAGTTTCTTTTATTGTATGTAGCAGCCAAGTGGAGTCTATCCAGTCATGCTGTAGACAATGGACTAGATGGAAAGCCTAACAAAAGCAGTTTTTTTGTTTGTTTTTTAAAGAGTAATTTTTAATGGAGGCAAAAGTAATAAACTGTAGCAGAAGAGGGATAAGGGAGCAATGCATATGTGTCTCCAGGGAAAACAAGAGGAAAGAAGAAACTGTAAGTTGAGTATCCCAAAGACCTACCATTTGGGCCTGGTTCAGGGATAGGATAGTTCTCCTAAAGGAAACAAAATAGAAACATCATTTAGTATGCATAATAAATTTACCTTATGAACAATTTTTTCAATTTTTCTTTTTAAAATTAAAGTGGAGCTTCATTCAAATATTTCTTCTTAGAATTAACACAGGCTCAGGCCACACTGCTGCTGGGTGGATGCCTGAGGAGGTACACTGAATAGTGCTGAGTCTAACTGCAGTCCTCACCCCACCCAACAGTGCACTTTGCCCAAGACTAAGAAAAAGTATGCTACGTGCACTCCGAGGCAGAAAGGATGTTTGGGAGGCTTCCCTAGATCTGTCTTCCCTATCAGATCCTTCGTAATTGTTCCTGAAAGCACACATTGTTAGATACGGATTTGTTTGGTCTCGGACGGGGAAAGGATAAGGGTGTTTCTGGCAGCTGCACGTAGGGCTTTTCCTCCAGACAGGTTGGAGAAAGTGTGTGTGCTGGTGCTCTTTTCCCTCTACAACAACACTTGGACCTATACTTGGTCCTGTCTTCCAAAACCTCCCTCTGGAGTTTTAGCGGCCCTTTGGGAACACAAAGGACCTGCACTTTGGCCACTGTCACAGATTCAAAAAGCAATCTCAGCTAGTCCAGTGTTCACAGCTATTATTATTGTCATCATTATTATTATTTACCAAGCTTTTTTTCCCCAATGCCAACTGGCTAGGAAATTCCTGGTGATGAGGGAGGACAGTGAGTGGCCAAATCCAAGTGTTTATTTGATTAATTCTTTGAAGGCAGCCAAGAAGAGGGAGAAGAGATATGAAATGTTCACAGCACCTACTATGCGCCAGTCAGTGTGCTGGGCTTTAAACACATCATGGACCACAGTCCTACCCACAGCCCAGTTTGCAGATGAGAAACCTGAGGCTGGGAAGTTCACTAACGTGGTCAAGGTCATATCACCAGAGAGTGGATAAACCAGGGCTAAACCCAGGTGTGTCTGATTCCCAAGCCTGCCTCACTGCATCCCACTGCAACCACAAAATGGAACATGCCTTTTCTCCTTCAGGGGTGATGCAAGGAGTGGTCAACCAGGTGATGAGAATGTCTGAGCTGAGCTTCACGCAGAGCCCTCTGGGAGGAGTCACTACTCAAAGGTTGCCTCCTTTTGAAAGCTTCCGCAAGATTCTTTTATAGGTAGCAATAAACCAAACTGGGTCTAGTTTGCTAACAAGATAATAACCTTGATGCCAAAGACCATGCCTTCAATCTCTTCAGCACCAGTTACAGTGCTCTGCCCCAAACCCAGTGGGCTTGTACTGGTTAAATAACCACTGTCCATAATAGTGCTTCCATAAAGGTCTGAGGTTCTCGCTCATCCAAGATTACCAGCCCTTTCTGTTGGAAGTAGCTCAACGCTAATTTGAACTCCTTGTCTCCAGTGAAACAAAGCCCAAGGTGATCATGCTAATGCTGATTAGCTGACACTAACTACCATCTTTGTGTCAGGTTATGTGCTGAGTGCTATACATGCATCACTGTTTAATCCTTAAAACAGCCCTGTGTGGTACTGCCACTGCCCTTCCCCTACAGGACAATCTTGCCACTTTCTGGAAAGGCAGTCTTACTACTGCCCATCCCCTGGGGCAACTTGCCTTGCCCCAGCAAATCATATGGTGTTTTCCCTTTTCTAGATGGGGAATCAAGGGTCTATTCCCGCCAGTACCACCTTGAGATGTATCCTTTCTAATAGGTCACACTTTGATCCTCAAAATAATTTTTTTTTTAATTGGAGAACAGGGGCTGGCCGAGTGGCGTGTTGGTTAAGAGCTGGCTTGGGATGCCAGCTCTGAGCAGCAGGGCCCCGGTTCGGATCCCACATGAGGGCCAGTGACACTGCCCTCTACAGCTAAGATGATGAACAACAGCTCGAGCTGGAGCTGGGCTGCCATGAGTTGCCAGCGACAGCATAGGCTGCAGCCCCTACTACAGTGGGCTGCCATAAGCTACCGTGTGTGGCCAGCAGCCAGCGTGAGCGGCCGGCAGCCGGTGTGAGCTGCCAAGAGCTGCTGTGAGCGGCCGTCCAGAGGCCAGCAGCCGATCTGCCTCACCCGGGAAGAGAGCAATGATAATACCAACATGGGCCAGTGAAGTGACGTCCTCCACAACTAGACTGAAGAACAAAAGGACAGCAACTTGTCTGTTCCCCATTCCCCTGACTCTTCAGCGCTGTTCCCCTCCCCCAATTCCTCTTTTAAAAAAAAATTGGGGAACAGTGTGTTTTTCCAAGACCCATCAGCTCCAAGTCAAGTAGTTGTTTCAATCTAGTTGTGGAGGGTGCAACTCAGTGGCCCATGTGGGGATCGAACTGGCAACCTTGGTGTTATGAGCACTGTGCTCTAACCAGATGAGCTAACCGGCGGCCCCTGATCCTCAAAATTTTTTTAAAAGGCCAACTAATCTTGTTTTGTAACACAGCTTGGCCCCAATACCAACTAGGGGAAGGGGAGGTTTGGCCCCTTAATGGGACCCTAAACTATAACACAATTCTACAACTCAGCCTTTTTTGTAAATGTCTTAGAAAATGGTCAGATTCCTTATATACAAGTATTTTTCTATTTGAGCGGCTGTAGAGATTTATGTAAAAAGTGTGAACTTAGCCCTACTAATGAGGCGCTTACTGATCCCCAAATGCTTACTGAACCACCCCCAGCCCCAGGGACCCCAAAGGCCCTTTTGCTGCCTTCTTCACTACCCCTGTACCTAGGGTCCACTGGCCCCTGCTTTTCCTGCCCCTAAAGCTGCTCCAACAATGAGGCTCTTGCCCCTGATAAAAATAGCAGGCGAATTCGGCCCCCAACTAATACACACCCATGTCCCTCATTGGGCTCAGGCAAATTAAAGCTGACCTTGGGAACTATTCGGACAATCCGAATATATAGATGCTTTCCAACACCTTACTTTAGCATATGAACTGACCTGGAAGGATGTGATGATAGTTCTGGGACAGACTTTGTCAGACATTGAACAGGAAAAGGTAACTAAGGAGGTCAGAAAATTTGCTAACAATTTACATCTTACATCTGTCTGATAACAAATACCCTATAGGAGAAACAGTGGTCCCACCCATGGACCATGAATGGGATTACAATAGCAATTCCCAAAAGTGGGAGAGAAACCATTTCTTACTCTGTATTAAAGCAGGACTCAAGGATGGCCGTCAAAAGGTCATTAATTTTTCTAAGGTGTCTGCCATTAACCAGGGCCCGGATGAAAATCCTATTACCTTCTTGGAAAGGCTGAGGGAAGCTCTCATTAAACATACTAATCTAGATCTAGAGTCTTA